TCATGCCGTCGTCAATGTGTTAATTTTGATAATGTTTTTGTTTTTCTAATTTAATTAATACAATTCGGTTGGGTATGCAACCAAACTTGCTGAATTTCAAGTGGATTTTCCATCAACGTGCGCGTTATGATGGAAGACGTAAATCCTCTCTCTCCGGTGTCATCTTTATGTGTTGAGTCGAGGAGGGTCAGAAGGTGGCGAAGTATTTACGAGCGGACCTCGCGCGCCCTTTTTTATTTACATTCCCCGTCCTCTCAAACACGTTCACTTTCACGCTTCTCGCCTCGAATTATTCCCAAGCCCACTTGCCTCTATATACTTGTATGTTTCACCCTGTATATATATATACTTATCCGAGCTGGAATAATATTTATGAATTCCTTTCCAGTCGAAAGGAATGCGCATAAAAGTAATAATATCTGTGTGTATCCGAGAGTGCCGTGAGGAACGAAACAATAAAAAAAAAAAACAATCGAGACTACGTTTGAATTAAATTGTGTGAGCTGTGGAGGGTGCTGTGGAAATTAATATCAGACTGTAATGAATTTCGAGGAGGCACGAAACTACCGTCGCGTCGCCTACTGCGTTGCAGCAGATACGTACATATTTGTATAACGCGCGGCGGTATAAATAATGCGAGCGGACTTTACAAAAGAAAAGTTAAATAAAAGGATGGAAGAGATTTAATAAATGAAACTTTCCGAACCGATCTCCGCTCCGAGCGGAACGGAAAACTTTGTCCTCAACTCATTTTACTTACTCCTTCGCTCGCTCACTCACTTAGTTAGTTAGTTAGTTCTATGATTACTACATTTCTTGTTTGCGAAATTAAAATGTGCTCAGTGGATGCGATTGAGTAATAGATCACATTGTAGTCAAATAGGAAACAAGCGAACAAATCGATACTGCTCTGTCTTTGATGTGACTTTAACAGTATGATCAAGGAGTGCTTCGTTTTACATGTTTGCATTGTGCAAATGGTGATACCTAATTATCGTAAATCGATAGCAAAACCACAAAAGTTGCGAAAACTGTGAATGGGAGAGCGGCAGATGCGCCATTGCATGTAAATAAAAGCCGTCGCTATGGAGATGATACGTGAAAGACGGGTTTTAATTGGTCCGTTGAACCGGAAATGCAAATATAAATGGTGTATTTCGTATACGTACCCGGCGCATTCACCTTTTCAACATCAAATCAATTTGACGTTTGACTATTGTCACATTGACGTTAGATTATTTGCTTGATATAATGGCGTTGCTATGGAAATAAACCATACTATAAATAGAAACAATTGATTTGACTTTAGGAAACTAAAGATATTAGTTGTTTTAAGTAAACGTATTTTTCGAATACAAGCAAATTGTTTCAGAGAATGCACCATTTAACTATACGTACTTTTTTCTAGAAAATCTACTGGTTTCCTAGGATGGACCACCAGCTTAAATTCAGTTTTCTTGAGTATAGTTTAAGTAAAAGTACTTTTTTTTCAATTATGGTAACTGGTTTTACCAGAATGGACCAATGGTTTAAATTCAGTTGGTTTAAGTAAAAGTATTGGAATACATCACAAGGTGCATTTAAGTTTTATTAAGTTAAGTTTGACTATACGTATTTTTTTTTTTTTTTCAAGAAATGCTTCTGGTTTCCTAGCTACTAGCTTAAATTCAGTTTTCTTAAATAAAATTTAATTAAAAGCCTCTTTGGTCCTTGCACTTGTCTAATTATGATATTTAATATGCTGCTTCGTGTCTTTTAGTTTTTGTAGTCACTTTTCATGCTTAAAATTTGTGACATGCTTTGAATTTGTTTATATAATCTATTGGTTATTATAACTGCGTTCTAAGCTTATCCTCTGATTTGTCTAGTTCAAGTCAATTCAAGCAAATATTTATGATCTAAACTAAGCAAATATTATAAATCATTAAAAATATTTCACCCAACTCCTTTAAAAAATGCTTATTTTAATTATGAAAAATTAATCATATTTTATAGATTGAAAATTTTATTTTTTCATATAATCACATTTTTCAACAATTCACGTTTGACTATTGTCACATTGACATTAGATTATTTGCTTGGTATAATGGCGTTGCTATGGAAATAAACCATACTATAAATAGAAACAATTGAATAAGTCTTGATCTTGATTTGACTTTAGGACATTCGTTGTTTCAGAGTTACGATACGTTTTATCTTCTTACGCGGAAAATTTGAGAGGTTATGTAAGTGCGCTCCGGCGTTTGCCATCTTAATTAAACCCTCATCCTCGTTTTGATCCTTTCCGGTCGTCCATTATCTGCGTCAAAGGCGACCCTCGGATGCGGACACAAAGATCTTCTCTGCCTTTACTATACCGTCTGTCCGGTAGATTACACGCGTACACTGCACAGCCAATTATTATCAATTTCACATCAGTTAATTAATTCCCCCAACCCATCTCCAGCCACAAAATTCCACATTTCGAAACGGTTTTTTACGTCAAAAAATTTGACGTTTGATGTGTAGTAATGACATAAGCGGTGCCAATTCAATTTATCAAAATACCCCCAGATTTTGTATTATACTAGATGCAGATTGAACCGTGATCCGGTTGGCAATGCTGCGGTTTTCCAATTACTCTCGATGCATAATTGAATATCCCTTAACACATTGAAGACGGCATGACCCACCGGTGGGTCATTAATTATAAATAATAGTTTTGTTGCCACTGTACGCCACTGATTTTGACTGAGAATAACCTCAAATATCTTAAGTCAATTTTATCGCATAGTGCACGCCACTGATTTTGACTGAGTATAATCTAAATATCTTAAGTCAATTACAAAGCTTAAACGTCAATACATTTCTTATACATATTTTAATAATTCTTGAAGCAATTTAGAACAATACGTGATATTGTGACATAATTTAGGCATACTTTACAAATTAACTTGCGAAACATATTTGAAATTTTCATTCAATGCCTACTTGCCGCTTCTCAGCTCCTAAGTAATCGAAACGCAAAGGCATTGAAAATACAATATGATTATCAGAAGCAGATATTATTTCTGTTTCTAAAAAAACATTGCTAATTTATTCAAATACAATACAAGCTCAATTATTATTATTGCTTATTATAAAACCTATAGCACTTTTTCCGCGTTTCAATAAAATTCGAACCCTCTGTTGAGTATATTTATTGAATATAACAAAAATAAAATAGGATCATTCAATAATAGAAATGTTTATTTATTTTTATGAACATCTTCAAAACATTTGATACACAGCGTCGGTTGATCATAACACTGTGCGCAATATGTAACAACTTTATGAAAATTTCAATATTTTTCCCACAATTTTATAAATTGCTTCAATATCATTAAAAAAATGTATAAGAAAAATTTAAACGTTTAAAGGTTATAATTGACGTAAGATATTTAACGTTTCTCTCAGTTCATAGGCGTCCACGAAATTTTTTTTTGGGGGGCAGGCAACCCGAAAAGCGCCTGCCTTAACGTGTTAATGTTCCTGATTTAGGTACACAACTTTCAATTTTAAAAGGTTGGCAGTACTAAAAGCATTTGTTTAATGTTGTTGTTGTTCTATTTTGTTGCAGTTCTTCCCATTTTCTTCGTGATAATTTGGGCGGTGGTCAAGAGTTTCCTTCCTGTCACCGATGATTCCTCGTCTACGCTCGCGGTGAGTCATATAATCGTTTACATGCAAACTAATCTGTTACGTTATGTCAATGTGACAGGAGGATGTTGGAGCTGTCAACTTGTGGACGCATTGCCCGTGGATGCGACCGCATTGGGTGGATTGGATCCATCAGAGTCCCACCGTTCTCGTCCTCCTTCTGAACCTCGTGTTTCTCGCCTCGATAATGTGGGTTCTCATCACGAAACTTCGTTCGGCCAACACGCTCGAAACACAGCAGTACCGGAAAGCGGCCAAAGCCCTCCTGGTTCTGATGCCTCTGCTGGGAATCACGTACGTTCTGACCATCGCCGGACCCACTTCCGGTGATAGCTCCAAGATGATCTTCGATTACGCTCGAGCCGTTCTACTCTCTACGCAAGTAAGTAACCTAAAATTAATATCGTGCATCTCCACTAAAATGTTATTAAGCGTTGCGTTGCGTTACGTTACGTTCGGGTTGCGGGCACACTAAATAACGTTTTCCGTAATCTAAACGTGCGCTTCCGCTGACACTAAACACAACTTACACGAGGAACAGCTGCAATACTTTAACGATGTTATTTCACCATGGAAACGTGCAGTTTTTCCTGCTGTAAGTTTGCATCTCCGCGCCTAATACCTCGAATTCACTGTTTCAAAACATTTAAACTGCAATTAAAAAAAAAAAACTAAATTAATTTTCCGTTTAAAGAAATAGAAGCTTCAATTCAATGCATTTTTCTTTGTGAATAAAGTATTGCCACGCGTAAACGTTGAAATTCCCATATGGGATTACCTCTTATGACAGGTGTCACCGAGTGTTTTGTTTTTCTATGCCACGTTGATGTTTCTATTTTCTGGTTCAGTAAAATTGCTATGGTTACAACAAAAAAAAATCAATTTAGAATAAATACGGGCGTGTGTAATTAGATGCAATACGATGTAATAATTTTTTTTTGTTCTTTTGCGGGGAGATTGAAAGGATGATCGACGCTAAATCTAGCTTAAAGTATTCGTTTCGTGGAGGAAAATTGAAGAAAGAGGGAAAAAAAATGCAAGGAGCAGAACCCAAACCATTATGCTTTGCATATTTCATGAAAACTGTCGAGGAATTCGTTTCTCTTCCTTTTGTCCCGTCTCTTCTTTTCTATTTTCGAGAAAAGTACCGAACGTAATAATAATAATAATTCCGGTAATTTGCTGCCGCGAGTGAAACGATGCCACTTTCCACATCCCCTTTTACGTTCACTTGTTTTTTTATTATTATTTTTTTTTTCGGTTGCGTTGGCTGCTCTCTTTTTTTTTATATATTATATTCAAGTATGTATGGAAATCTGGGGGGAACGTCGGCTCAGGAGTGCCAATATGAAATAAATTCGAGGGATATATACATGAGTATATGTACATATTCTCTCGTAAGATTTTGCAATATTGTGAATATGAAGGAAGGTCTAGTAGCACTACGCGTTATTAAATCCACAGACAAAATTTCCCTAGACTTTAATGGTTACCGAAATTCTGTTGGCAACGCTCTAGTAATAATAGTAATAATGATGGTTAATTATCCGGACGTTGGTATCATCAATCTGATTATTAACCCCGGTAGAGGAAAATAGACTTAGGTTAGGATAAAATGAAAGAGATAGAGAGATGAGTCTATGGATTTTGGCAGGCGAGAGAGGAGATCAGAGTTGGCCGCTGCCAAAATCCTTCTCCTCCTCCTAACATTGATTTCACGAGTTGGCTGAGGCCCGTTGTGCATCCGCAGCGAAGCGAAACAAAACAATCAACAACGACAACTACAAAAAAACAAAAAAAAATGGATGGGCAGTGAAACAAAGGAATTCCAGATTTCATCAAATATGACGTTGCTAAGCAACTTTGTTACAAGCGAATTTTGCTTTGATTTAATATAAAATATTGTATGAGTTTTTTAAGTGCGAGAAGCAACGTCGTCGGTGTTCGTTGAAGTAGATGAGATGATGAGAATGCAATGGTAAAAGGAAAGCAAATAACAAGAGCTGCGAATTATTGATGCGGCGGATCCCTCTCTTGTCGGATTGCTAAGTGTATTGACTCTGAGCAGAAAGTCCATTACCAGTAGCAGCAGTACAAGACTGATCCATGACTACACGTTAGGTGGATCCAATTGAATTAAAAGTGAAGGCGGCCGTGGGCAATTTTCTCGTTACGCTCGTGTTTTTCTTACGAGAACCGACACCTTCAAGAAACACTCTTATCATTGGTATTTGCACTCGCTTGATGAACTATCCGGCATGGGCGCGCGATGATTGTGTTTATATTTGAAAGAAATTAATTAAAAAAAACTTTTTACGAGGACATAAATAGTTGATTTCTGATCAAATAGTTTTTAATTAAAGTTGGCGTTGCCAACTTCGAGACGTGGGATGTCCCCTAACCTTAATCCTAAGTCCTAATAGACTTCCTCATAACGAGCAGCGGCTGATTGAAATATGTGCAATTTGCACGCCGATCGGTTTTAATTAACGTCTCGAAAAGTTAGGGGGAGAGAAGAGTTGCTTTTTTCTTTTCTTTTTTGTTGGAAAGAAGGACTGAAGTCTTGATTGCATCGTTTGTTTCCCGGATGAAAAGTGAGGATCGGCGATGGCTGTCGTCTGCTCGGTCACCTAGCAACGTTGTAACAAACTTGAAATATGCAATTTTAATTAAAGTCACATACATTTCTGTTCTTCATCTACGCTCGACTCTGAAACTTTCAAGTTGCGGACGGATGGAAAATTATTATATTTTTCCTCGAGCGATTCAAATCTCCAGAGGAATATATTAATAACGCAAATGCTGCTGCGGATACAGATGTATCGGATCTAAATGTAAATGTAAACGTAAACGATTGTGGTTGCGAATGGTGAGGAAATGACAGAGAGAGAGAGGAGGAGGAGGAAGAATCAAGTTTCCGGTTCCGGAGTTTTCTTCTTGATGAACGAAAAGAGACGGGCTTTTGATAAATAATGTGAAACGTTGAAGGCGCGCACATTTGCATTTCAATCGCTCCTTCTGCGACTTTAATTTTATCTCTGTCTCTCTCTCTCCCTGTCTCGGTTTTTTCAATATATATTTCGCGTTATAACGCTAATTGCTATATACAGACAAGCATCTGTCAAATTGACAATATCGCTGTCAATCACTTGATAACCATAGCAATAACTGACAACAATATTAATGAACGTTCTTCATTAAACTAAATAATTACGTTCTCTTTTTTCAATTGAAATTGCGAACCCGGCGCCTCCATCATTAGTAAAGTATTAATATAGTTGTGAATTGCTTAACAATATTGTTAAACTGTACATTTAACAAGCAGCTGTCAAATTGACAATATCGCTGTCAATCGTTTGATAACCGTAGCAATAACTGACAACAATTTTAATGAACGTTCTTCATTAAACGAAATAATAACGTTATCTTTTTTCAAATTAAATTGCGAACCCGGCGACTCCATCATTAATAAAGTATTAATATAGTTGTAAATTGCTTAAGAATATTGTTAAATTGTACATTTGACAAGCATCTGTCAAATTGACAATACCGCTGTCAATCACTTGATAACCATAGCAATAACTGACAACAATTTTAATGAACGTTCTTCATTAAACTAAATCATTACGTTCTTTTTTTTCAAATTAAATTGCGAACCCGGCGCCTCCATCATTAGTAAAGTATTAGTATAGTTGTAAATTGCTTAAGAATATTGTTAAACTGTACATTTGACAAGCAGTTGTCAAATTGACAATATCGCTGTCAATCACTTGATAACCGTAGCAATAACTGACAACAATTTTAATGGACGTTCTTCATTAAACGAAATAAGAACTTTTTCTCTTTTGTTTTCAATTGAAATTGCGATCCCGGCGCCTCCACCATTTCCATATTCGTAAAGTTAATAATATTGTTAAACTGTACATTTGACAAGCAGATGTTTAATTGACTAGAGCTGTCAAATCGTATTGTTTTATTTCCATGGCTATTGCGTCCATTTTGGTCCATTTTGGCGAACGAAATACGAGAGAGAGAGGACATAGTTATCAGACATCATCAGGCCCAAAGGGCATACGACTGAAATGATCGACCCGCGTCGACCCAATAATTTAATCCTCGGTCCTCGCGCAACACATACTCCGTTTTACTTGGCTGCTGATTTAATTACCTAACAAATTCCACAGTGAAAACTCGACCGAAAACAAAGGTTTCCCTCTCATATATTTCCTTCCTTCGATTTCGAACGTCGCCTATGCGATATTTGCGCAACGTTCATCATCATCGTGCATCCCCGAACTCCATTTCCGGTCCACGCTTCATCTGCCATTCGATTGTTTTTTTTTTTTCGTTCGTCCGTCCGTGCTTCCTGTTTCCGCTCGAAAACAGGATACGTTTGCTCGGCTTGCTTCGCACCTAGAGCAAAAATCAACGGTGCATGATTCTCAATGCAATTTGGGTTGCATGTTGCTATTTTACATATTCAAATTGTACCTCGTATATTCGTACTTTTTTTTTTCTTTGTTCTGTGTGTGTCTATTACATTTCGGTTTTTCATGCATTTTCATTAAATATTTCTTTTAAAATGTCGAGAAAATCTATAACCATTTGACATTTGATTTACGTGTATCTTGGGCTATCTATACACAGTTTTTCCTTTAACGACATCTATTAAGGTTAATTGCTGTCATACATCTAACGAACGTTTTTTTTTTGTTGTTGTTTCAGTATAATCTAAATCGTTACCATAAATTTGGCGAAACGAAACACGGGTATTGAGAATAAACAGTGAAAGCAAGTTTTTTTTTACATGTGTCACCTGGCGCGTCCACCATTTTTATTCATATGTCAATAATATTAATAACTGTCACTGTCAAATTGACAAATAGAAGTTAGGCAGAAATTGTAGACGATTTCAATGCTAATATTACGTAATTACCTTCAAGTCTATTTATACAGTTCACGTTCGGGATATTCGCTCAATGCTAACATGAATCGCGTAATGTACGTTTAGGTGAAATAATAATTATAATGATTAAAAAGAAACGAACGATCAAACAAACCCTGACTAGCTGTAGCGGTATAAACCGGCTTAGTTAAATATTAATGATCGTAATGAGCTTGGCTTTTGCCTCCGGCACAAAGAGAAAGGGGGATGCGGAGGGTGCATCATCCCTAAGCTATCTCTGGGATCGCCAGAATTAAAATAATGAGAGGCGAACGCTTAATAACATTGCAGGAAGTTCGTTTAAGTGATGGAAGCAGCAGCAGCGCTTGCTAATATACATCCAATTAACGGGGTTAATCGAATCGGACAAACTTCACACTGTCTGTCACTCTGACAGCTGTCATTTAATTGAGTGATGGCTTGATTGTATTGAGAGT